CACCTCTAGGAAGGCCCCTACACACCTGCCCTCCACCTCTAGGTGGTCGGACGGCTGGTGTTATAATCATGGGTTGATGACCCTATTGCACTTCTTTGCCCCAAAGTCTGGGGTAATATCTCTTCATGCGACTAGGATCCCTGCACTCATAACAACCCCTCAGAGCGGTGGACTGCTACCCTGAAGTCTGATCCTGATGGCCTGAATACCCATTAGAAGAACTCTAGATAGTTGGTGGGCGGTATAAACTCTCTGGCATGACACTGAAATAGGAACTGGAAGAACCCTGATGACCGGAGTACCCACTGGAAGAACCCTGAATAGCTGGCGGACGGTAAGAACTTTCCGACAAAGCATTGAAATTGGGTCGTGCTGGAGCACCTCGAGGGAGCGGTGGTGCTGAATATGGGGGCCTGCTAGGCTGACCCCTCCCAAAGTTATCCCTATCACCAGCTGGGGCACCTTTGAACTCTCCAAAAAAAATGGGACCTCTTGTCCCGCTGCATCTGCTCTCTACCCCTCTGACTACCTCAATCCTCCAATCAATCTCTATTACTAACTGATAAGACGTCTCTATCTCAACCTCCCGAGTCATACTAGTCTGAATACTAGAGTGCAAACCTATAACAAACCTTCGTACTCTCTCTGCGTCACTAGGAAGTATTATAAGTGCATGGCGAGACAACTCAGAGAATCTCGCCTCATAATCGGTCACTGATATCCGACCCTGCTCGAGATGCTCAAACTGACATCATAACTCTTCCCTCTAGGAGAGTGGAATATACCTGTCCAAGAGAAGCTATGTAAACTGGTATCAAGTCATAGGAGGAGAACCTGATGGTTTGCCAAGAACATAAGACTGCCACCATCTTTGAGCTCTTCCCTCTAACTGAAAGGTAGTGAAATCCACCCTGTGAGACTCCAATATTCTCATGTTGTGCAGTATGTCCCTGCACCTATCAATGAAGTCTTGGGGATCCTCATGTCTCTCACCCCCAAGATAGGAAGGTGAAACTTGGTCCATCTATCCACCAGCTTCTGCAACTCACCGTTCGCAGCCGGTCTAGGCTCAGGTACAACTGTTGGAACTGGCTGGGCTCCGCCCACGGGTAGTGTGCCCGGGGTATGATACACAATAGCTCGATGCCTAGAAGCCTGAGCAATATGGGTCTATGCTCCCCCTCCCGCATGAGATGTGGCTGGGTCTGATGGAAATAAACCAGCCTGGGTTATAGAATCCATGAACCATAGCATACAACCCATGACCTCCTGAAAGCCCGATGTTGTCAAGAAATCAACCGGAGCTAGACCTACTGCGGGCACCTCACCCTACTCCTCAATAATGGCATCATTCACTGGATCCTCTAGCAATACAACTGGGGCAACTCTGGGACGTCCTCGTCCCCTACCTCGGGTCGGTGCCCTCCCCCGGCCTCTGCCTCGGCCTTTATCTATAGGGGGAGTAGCCCCTCCCGTGTCTGGAATGTTTGCCGCACGCGTTCTCACCATCTATAAGAGAATAAGAGGAAAGGAACTTAGTACACCATCAACTGTACGACATGAGATGAATAAAAAGTAGTTTCCTAACATCCTGTAGCCTCTCGAGGATAGGCATGGAAGTTTCTGCACCGATTCGCAAGACTTTATTAGGCCTGCCCATAACTTGTGAGACTCACGTGAACCTAGATCTATGATACCATGTTGCCACAATCCAATTCTATTATGGGCCATGATGGTGCCCAACACCATTGCTACGCAAGCCAACACTGAACAATCTAGTGATTTCCCATTTTAAACAAGTTTACCGAGTAAATGATTTTTCTCATTTTAAAAGATTTAGGAAATGACAAATGTAAGATGCGTAAACGGAAGCAACTAATTACAAATCAAAATCATACAACGAACCCAAAATCATGAGTCTACTAGAGTGTGTGCCATGACCTGGTGTCACAAGTATATAGGCTACTAGTAGGATATACAAAAGAATTCTACTCTACCGTCTGAAATAGAATAGACAGAAAATTAAATCTAAAGAGAGACTTTGGCTGCTGCTGAACAGCTCGGAGGGGCACCTTACCATGTAGTCTCAAACTAGAAGGCAAGCGTATGCACCGGACTGATAGCCAGATGCACATGCCTCAGATCCTGCACATCAAGTGCAGAAGTGTAGCGTGAGTACATAAAATAACATGTACCCAGTATGTATCTAGTCTAACCTCGAAGAAGTAGTAACGAGGGGTCGACTTCAATGCTTACTATGGGTCAACAATATATTAATATGAAGTTCTAATCAAACATGATATATAAAATGATAATAGAACTCAAATCAGGAATATAAATAAGCAATCCTCTCATTTCAGGTAAGAGCCAAGTCATTTCTCTCATCTAATCCTTTCACCTTTCAAGTCCATGAAACAATATTAAATATAAAAAGGGGTTCCAATATCTTTATGCACGATTTATGCTGAGAACGTACGGCCCGATCCAAATATACATATAAACATACTATATACTGTCGAGGGTCGAACGACCCGGACCATAGATATATCGATTAACCTGCAGAGGCGAACGACCTGCTCCCATGAGAGTAATGGAAAAGTCACCCCGCTCGCGAAATATTCTTGCGACGCGGGTAATATAATTTATCAAGTTAAGCATAATATCCCTCAATTCTTTCCAAAATTAAAAAAATTCAACTTGAAACTTTTAAAATCTTAAAATCATTAACTTAGCCCCATTACAATTAACATATAAAATCAGATAATAGTATCCACAAATGCATGGTGTAAGCCTAACACTAACTGGACATAAGCAAGAATAGGAGCTATGTACGGACACTCGTCACTTTGTGTATATGTAGCCCCCCACAAATAGCAACACATATTAATTAAATTCACATATGGGTTTAATTCCTTCTTACAAGGTTAGAAAAGAGACTTACCTCATCTCAAGGCCTATTTCCCGGTCCAAAAATGTGCTCACTCCCTCAATTCGGTGCGCCGAATCAACCCAAAACTAATCAAATAGTATATAAACCAATCAATTGATACTCAAAAGTTCGTATTTCAACTATTTAAGAAGTTACCCAACCCTAAATGTAAGATTCTTAAAATTCACCCCCGGGCCCACTTGCCGGATTCCAGAAATATTTGAAGAAAGTTGTTACCCATAACCCCATGAACTCAAATATATGATTTTTACTAAGTTCCATAACCAATTTCGTGGTCAAATCTCATTTTTATCAAAAACCTAGGTTTTTATCTAAACCCTTGATTTTCACTAACTTTTACCTGTTAATCTAGCAATAATCTATGTATTTAACTCATGTGTGTAGAAATTACTTACCTCAAAGTGCTAGATGAAAACCCTCTTCCAAAAGCTCCAAAAATCGCCCAAGCGATGAAGTGAAATGAGATAAATGGTCTAAGTCCCACATTATATGAGTTGGGCACAGGTCTCTGATGTCGCATTTGCGACACCAGGTTCACAAATGCGACAAATCTCTAGCAAATAAGGACCCTGGGCTTCAGCTGCTGAGGTCGCAAATGCGACAAAAGTGTCGCAAATGCGAACACTGCTGAGGTCGCAAATGAGGCTCAAGTGTCACAAATGCGAACACTGCCCCAGGTCGAGCTTCTTCGTAATTGCGAAGCTCTTCTCACAAATGCAAAAAATTTCTCGCATTTGCGAGACTTGCAGCACCAGCAATAAACACTAGAAGACTGGAGTGTATTCTCACCCTCCCGAGCGTCCGAAACTCACCCGAGCCCTTAGGGCTTCACACTAATTACCTACACAAGACTAATAACCTCATACAAACTCGTTCGAGTGATCAAAACATGGAAATAACATCAAAAACTATGAATCGGATGCCAAAACGCATGGATTGACTCATGAACTCAAAAACTTCTAAAAAGACTTCCACATGTCTGATTCGTATCAAATCAACTCGGAATGATATCACATTTTGCATGCAAGTCTTAAATAACATTATGAAACTATTCCCGCTCTCGAAATTCCTTTCGGGCCTCAGTAACACCAAAACCTACCCCAAACCAAATTTAAAGAACTTCAAAAACCTTCAAAGAACCAACTTTCGATATTGGGCGCCGAAACGCTCCCGGTTCATCCAAAACCCGATCCGAACATACGCCCAAGTTCGAAATTATCATACGAACCTATTGTAACCGTCAAATCCAAATTCTGAGGTCGTTTACTCAAAATATTAATCGAAGTCAAACTTAGTCTTTTAAGGCCAACTTAAGGAACCAAGTGTTCCGATTTCAATCCGAACCCTTCCAAATCCTGAACTAACTATCCCCCAAGTCATAAAACAGTAAAATCACATACGGAGAGTCTTATATAGGGGGACGGGGTTCTAGAACGCAAAAAGACCGATCGAGTCATTACAATTAGTCTGGACTTCGGAGAAATAAATGTAAATAATCCAAATTCCTTCTTAAAGTTACTGGATATTCAAGAAAACAATTTGAGTTAAAAAAAAATAGAAATTAATATCTTGTGATACGTCAATTGTGAAGAGAATGATTATGAAGTACCGTTACTTGAAGAGAAAATTAGAGAACGAAGAGTAGTCTTTACTAAGTCCTTAGAAATTCCTGTTTGAAATTTGCATATTAGTCTATCTTGTATGTTATTTGCATTTTAATAAGTGGTGGGTTTAATTTTAAAAAGAATAATAATGTAAGGAGGAACGGGATTACCAGTAGGTATGTTGACATTGAAGTTGTTAATTTGTTAAGTAGTGGGAAACAGGAAAGGGGCATCAGGCATGGCTTAATATATATGTCATGCAGATTAATTTCCCTAGCTATTAGCTACTATGAAGCTAGTGGAGGAGCTGTAATCTTATAATTTGGCTCAGGTTCAGAATTTCCTTCCATTATAAACTTCTTTTTCACACCACACGCTAGTACCAAACTTCAACCATCTCGACTTTGCAACTTTCTGTTTACGTTCTGCCTTAGCTTCCTCTTAACATGGCTTCCAAAACAAGAGCCTCATTTACCCTTTTCCTCTCCTTGAATCTCCTTTTCTTTGCCATAGTCAGTGGAACTGATCGTGGCTCTTGTCATCATAATCCTCCTAGAACCGGTAATGGTGGTGGCAATGGCGGTAACACTGGTGGCACGGGCAATGGCGGCGGCTCTGGCAACGGAGGAGGTCCGGGCAATGGCGGCGGAGGTGGTAACGGACAAGGCAGGTGACCGAGAGATGCTCTGAAGTTGGGTGTATGTGCAAATTTAGTCGGTGGATTGGTGTTAGACCTCCAACAATTGAGCTCGACCGGACAACAAGAGTGTTGTCATGAGGCAGCAAGAGTGTTGCAAAGCTTGGTGCATGAGCAGCACCAATGTCAAAAATGGGAAACGGGCAAGTGATGGCCAATGCTTTGACGGAGGCGAGGAAGCTTGGCAAGAGCTTGACAATGAGTTGCGGGCTAAGGATGGCACTTAATCATAGCAAAGGCATCAAGGCATGAGGCAGTGATGCCAAGGCAAGGCAAAAACGGAAGGGCAAAGGCGAGCAAATGTGCAACGGGAAGGCAGTGCGCGGGCAGACTTGTCATGCCATTGAGTTGCGGCAAACGGGCCAAGTTCGTGGGCGATGGCAAGGCAAATTGCGGCACAATGCAGCTGGATACAATGGCATTGGCGCCTGGTCCAAGCCATGGCACGAAATTGGGCAGCAAGTCTTGGATTGACAAAGTCAAAGGCGGTTATCGGCACATGCTGTGCACATGGGCAGCGGTTGAGTCTTGTCCAAAAAGCTGGCAGGAGTTAGCACGTTTTTGAGGGCCATGATCTCATTGTCTTTAGCATGATTTACATGATCCTAGTAGTTGGGGGTGTCAACTACACTAAGCTAAAGTAGTGGGCTGAGTAAGCAAGTGCCTAAGCCTAAATATAGGCAACTATTGTGTAAATGGGGCTGGTTCATAAGTTATAAATGGACAGCACCCTTCCCTTTTTGAAAGAGAGAGTGAAAAACGTGTGAGAGCACACTATTGAGTTAGGAAGGAGTCCTAAACCTGTTTTCAAGAGTGAAAACAACCTAAGGCTAAGAATAGTCTTGTGAGGGTCAAGAGTGATCTTCATTTTGTACAAGGATGTACTTTGAGTTTGAGTTTTCTTTGTATTCTCGAGTTAAATACAAAGTTGGGAAAGAGTTTCCTGTATATTGTGCCTTTTGTTCACTTTNATGACGGAGACACGACGGGTTGTGGCAGATTTCGTGGTCTTGTTCGAGAACATGGCTGGTGGTAACAATGAACTGCAGGAAAGGCTAACGAAACTGGAAGCATTGGTGGGAAATGTTCCTGATGGTGAAGAATTTCAGACCCTTATGACAAGGCTTGCCTACCTTGAGGCAGAATTGGCAAGGCTAAGTCAAGAGAATGCGGATCTGAGGAC